AGGGCAGGTCGTGGACATGCGTACACTTACAGCTCCGATTATGAGGCAGAGGATAGGTTGTCGCGCAGGCGCCGGAGTAACAGCAGTTCGGGCTACCAATCAGGCCTGGGTCGCATCAACAGCATGCGCGAGCTGGGTGGCACGCCACGGGCGATACATTCGAGAGGCGGCAAGGGCAGCAAAGGCAGCAGCACTAACAGCATAGACCCAGGCTATGCGCAGGTTCTTGGCAGCCAGCGCTGGGCCCGAGGTATTGGCAGATCATCCAGCTTTGATTGCGGCGACGCAAGGCCCTCCACCAGTCAACAACAGCCTCCGTGGCACATTGAGTTTTCAAAATCCCTTTTTGACAACGGCCACGAGCACGACTACGATGCCGCGCCTACCCCTCACGTCCCCGCCGGCCCACGAAGGCTGACTACCGTCCCGTCATTGCCCGTTCTTGCGCCCCCAGACACAAAGAGCAACTCCAAATTGACGCCCAAAGCCCCGGGTAATGATCGCCCACGCAGCATGAGATCTTCAAAGAGCGCATCGACGGTGCGCCAGTCCGAAGTGAAATACAATGCCCAGCGCGATGTTCCCTCCGTTCCTCCGGCTTCCATTCCTCCCTTTGACGTGGAAGCAGCGCCTGCTCCCCATGTCGGCTACGAGAAGACCAAGGATACAATGCTTGAGAACCCGATAAACGCCATACACCAAGCCATCCAACAGCCAAAGGAGAAATCTGGCTTTTTCCGCAAATTGTTTGGTTCGTCCAAGGCGAACTCTCAAACCCCGCCCACGTTCCCATACCTATCATCGACAGCCAACGACGGCTCGAGCAGTAAGGTGAATTCGCTCAAGTCGCCAACCCTCCCACCTGTTCGCGAGCCACCCCAGACCGTCACACATACGCTGCAAAAGAAGACTTCGTCCTTTTTCAAGAGGCGGAAGCAGTCCATCACGGAACTGGAACTACCGCCGATCCCTCATTTACCGAACAAGTCGCCAGCCAGAATGACTCTGGGCAATCGAGACACCCTGATGGCTAGGCCGGAGCCGAGTCCCATGGGCGGCAGCTCAAGGCGGGCTATGGACCCGTTCTTGCAGGATAGTCCTATTATTGAATCGTTTGCCGATGCCCCTCTACCGTCGACAGAGGCTTCTGACTCGGGCGCGCCATACAGATCTTTGGAGGATTCTCCCGAGATCAGACGGAACAAGGATAGTTATCAAAGAGGATTCTCTCCCGACTACGAACCGAGTCCAAAAGCCGTGATACGCGCCATCGACCCTAACTCTTCTAGCGACTCGGTTGAGGCCAGACAGCCTCGAATAGAAATGCCAGGCAGGCCAGCGCTCGATCGAACCATGACTTCACCCCCGAGATCATTCTTGCGCGATGATAGCGAGAGCGAATACAGTCCCGAATCGAAGACAGTTTCTCGCACCGAGTCCCGTAAACTAAGCCTGAGGCCGGGTCGAGCAAAGGAAAAGAAGAGACGATCCTCTTCGCCGACGGTGTCCAAGTCGAAGAGCTACCCTAGCCTTGGCAAGTCAAAGGAGGACTTGAAGGCTCCTGCTCGTCAGAACTCCAAGATGTCCTCCAAAGCGAGCAAGAAACCCAGCTTGCCTAGTTTACGGGTAGATAATACCGAGCCTAATTTGCTGGGCTTGGGCGCAGGTGGCTTGAAGACTGCCGAATCAATCAAGCCGGCCAGCAAATCAGAACTCGACGAGCCCGAACAATTTGTGGTCGGCGACCCCACCGACGATGACCGGCAGAAGGCGCTCAAAATTTACGAAGGTAATGAGGACTTCATTGCCAGAGACAAGGCGGCCGCATGGATGGGTGAGGAGGGTCCTGTCCGGCAACGCACGCTCCGGGCGTACATGGAAAACTATGAATTTGAGAACATGAGTGTTTGTGCTAGTTTGCGACAGCTTTGCAACCGCCTCCTTTTGAGGGCGGAAACCCAGCAGGTTGATCGGATTCTGGTCGCTTTCTCCAACCGATGGTGTGAATGCAATCCCAACCATGGGTTCAAATCAATGGGTAAGTCCTGCTTGGAATGCAATTGAAGTGTTTCTTGCGCTGACAATCTACGTTACAGACATCATTCACACCATTTGCTACTCCATCATGCTCCTCAATACGGACTTGCATATGGCTGATATTGAACACAAGATGACCAAGAGCCAGTTCATCAAGAACACCATGACCACGATCCGACAGGCACTCGAGGATTCGAATCCAGAAGCATTCGAACGTCCCAGTATTCTACCTGGCAAAGGTGCCAGTCTTGGCGTTGAGGGCAACCGTCGCAACTCTAGTGAAGATAACAAACACAGTTTCAGACATTCTTTCAAGCCGCCAGCACGGCCGACGTCCGGCTTTGGTACAATAACAGATTCGTCTACCGCTGATAGTTGCGGGCCTCTCGTAAGAGCGCCCTTTGATGGGCCCCTGAAGGGATGGGAATCGCAAGTCGAAGCAGTCCTCAAAGACATCTACTCATCCATCCGCGACGAAAGCCTACCGTTATTTGGCGGTGCCGCCAATACGACGGGTCTCTCGACAACCGCCCAAGGCAGCTTATCGGTTATGGGTGTGCTCAAGCGGAGCCCTAGTGTACTGAGTAAAGCACCATCGGAGGGTATGGCTTCCACTCGGGGTAGGATTCCCGAAGGGCCCAAAGCGAATTCATCCAGATGGAACTCAAAGAGTCGGTCGAGACCAAGAGGCTTCGGAACTAGCTTTAATTCGAGCCGGACTAGCTTTGACGACGGAAACTCACTTTGGAGCCCCACCGAATCCTCGGCGACCTGGAGCAAAGCGTCGCTGGGTAGGACCCATACGACCATGTCCATGGACTCTTTTGGATCCTCCTTCCGTGGCGACTATCAGCAATCGATTGGGTTTGCAAATGCGCTTAGTCAGGCCATCATACGCGAAGACAACACACTTGATCTCGCGATTAGCAAGACGGAGGATTTCAACGCCGGGGAGCTGCTGGAAGATGAGTCCCTGGAATTAGCCGGTCCTCCATGGGTCAAGGAGGGTATTGTTACGCACAAACATCATATGGAAACCGTCGACAAACGGTCCAAAGAACGCACATGGAACGAGGTCTTTGCAGTTATCCAGAAGGGACAGCTAAGCTTGTTCTCCTTCTCTCCAAACAAATCGACAAGCAGGAAAAGGGGAATGCGCAGTAACGCACCAAAGGGAGGAGTTGTTGGTGGTGGCAACTGGCAAGACAATGCGGTAAAAGTGGGCACGTTTTCGCTGCGCCAGACACTGGCGACGATTATGCCGCCACCAGGCTATTCGCGAGCCCGTCCGCACGTCTGGTGTTTGTCGTTACCTAACGGGGCGCTCCATTTGTTCCAGGTCGGAACGGCCGAGATTTGCAGGGAATTTGTGACTACAGCCAACTATTGGAGCGCGCGGTCAAGCACCCATCCCATGATAGGCGGTGTCTCCAATATCGAATACGGCTGGAGTGATGCGGTCATCAACTCGACCCGGGTTTCTGGCATCCAAAGTAATGGCGACCTGAACAACACAGGTGGCGGCGGCGGCGGCGGCGGCGGCGGCGGAACTGCCGGGCGTCCTGCTAGCAACAGCGTCAGCAGCAACTACAAAGGCCATTCACGCCCTGGCAGCGCAGCAAACGCGGCATCGGCAATGGCAGCGATGGCGGTTTCCAGCACGATCTCTGGCAGCCGTGCCTCGCTCCATAGTCGACGCAGTGTTAGAAGCTCTTCTTTCGACTTTGGTCGGCCGGGAAGCTCGGCCAGCAGCGGCGCCCTCGGTGTCACATTCAGCGGCCCCGGCGCACTCCCCCGTCCCAACCACGCATCATCGTCCTCGAAGCTACCAGGTGATAAGATTCACATTGCCGAGTGGACACCGCCCTCGCAGTCCCTTCGGCCCAGCACCCTTTCGGAGCGTGAACAGTTTGGGCATCTCATCGCCTACGTCAGGAGTCTTGAAGAAGACTTCCAAAAGCATAATTCGCTCAGGAGTCCTATGCTTCTGGCATTCTCGCCTCGATCAGTGAACGCGGCCAAGGCGATGACCAACTGGGAGAAGAAGAGCCAGCATCTCCTCAACGAAATTGTGAAGTACAGGACGTATGTAGACAGCCTGCGCGAGGCAGATATCAGGAGGTCGGAGATTTACCGTGAAAGGGAGAATGCGAGACGCGCGGCAAGGGGTGAGGATGTGGTTGACAGCGATGGAGAAGGCGAACCTTTACCTGGTGAGGCCATGGATGCGTCGCTGGAAAGGGAGGTCAAGGGCTAAGGGACAACATAATGGATGGATGATATGGTATGTCGTGAAGAGCTTGGGAAAGAAAGAGAAAGAGGGGACAAAGGCGTTTAAGGTAGATTTTGGCGAAGATGACAAGCGTGACTTCATGGGGACGGGGATCTTTTATCGCTAAACACCACAAACACACACACACACACACACACACTCTTCCTTTACGTTATACCATGGCATAGAGCAAGCGAGCATGCATGCATGACAAATTCTGTCTATCGTTACTTTCTGGGGTGCTTACGACTTGAGAATACATATTTAATACCTTCCTGGCACTTGTCGGTCTGGACCATAGGTCTCACCGAGGAGCATTTGTGAATGCCCTCAACATAGAACGACGACGACGGCATTGGTAGGTGTGACAAACAGTGACCAATCAGACGAAGCTGTGAGTGATGCAAAAGTGGAGACGAATATTCAAGGGTTAGGATTGGCCACACACTGTACATAGTAGTCACCTAACTAACAGGGAAAGCTAGACAAAATCATGTGATACCGTGTGAGGAAGGCGCGATTCGCCCCCCACCCTTCCGATCTTCGCGTCTGTGTTTAGTCAACATTGTTAAGGTAAGCAGGCGCCAATCGCCATCTTCCTTCCTGGAGCCCGCTTAGTCTTTTTGCGGTGGTTTTTTCCTTTCCCTCTCATTTGCCTTCCGGAATTTTCGGTTATTGTTCTTTTGAGTGACGGGCGTGAAATAAAAAATTCCCACATAGAGATACAGGTCTAGCGTTGTTCCTAGGAAGCTACCGAGGCCGTTGTAACAAAGCCCGTTCCTTACAGCGAAGATGTAAGCACACACCTCCCCATCCCATCAATCACCAACATCACCACTCTTAACATCCGGATAATAACATCCTTGAGTCTCGATAGGACAGCATCCATGGTCTCAACATCCAAGGCCGCCTCCAAGGACAACAGCACCAACAGTCTCGCTCTCACTCAACGCAGCAAGTTCCCCACACCTCAATCCCTCGATAAACTCACCAAGCCGTTCAAATGCCCCGGCTCCGCGACGCGCACCGTAGCCGTCGACCGGCCGGCACGAAAGCGCAGAAAGATCGATTATAAAGGTGCTGGTGGCGAAGACGACGAGGATGGCGCCGACAAGCCCTACACCAACGCCGATCGGCTCGCCCTCGCCAACCGCGACGCCAACAAGTTCCCCGTGTTCGCAGTCAAAGACAAGTCACAGGTATTTCGCAAGGCGTTCTCCGTGCCGCTCATCAACAAGAACACGACCGCGTACAACCCAAACCGCCCCCCACCCACGCTCGGCCTGAGACAGGGCGCCGTCTTTGTGGCTAAGCCGCTGCATGACCCGTGCGACGAGTTTGCTATTGTGCTGTATGATCCGACAGTGGATGATAAGCCCAAGGATACGGCGCCAAAGGCCATTGAAGAAAAGAAGGAAGAACCAGAGGTCAAGGTTGATGCGCCGCTGGTGCACAAGAGTCTGGCGGAGATTCTGGGCATCAAGAAGAAAGTCGAGGGTGAGCACCCTCGTGTCCCGGTGGTGATTGATCCCAGGCTGGCCAAGGTGCTGCGGCCGCATCAGATCGAGGGTGTCCGGTTCATGTACCGGTGCGTGACGGGCATGATTGATGAGAAGGCGAATGGTTGCATCATGGCGGACGAGATGGGCTTGGGAAAGACGTTGCAGTGCATCACGCTACTGTGGACGCTGTTGAAGCAGTCGCCGGATGCTGGAAAGTCGACGATCCAAAAGGCCATTGTGGCGTGTCCGTCGAGTTTGGTCAGGAATTGGGCGAATGAGTTGGTCAAATGGTTGGGCGCGGACGCTATCACGCCCTTTGCCATTGATGGAAAGGCCTCGAAGGAGGAGTTGACGAGGCAGCTGCGGCAGTGGGCGATTGCCAGTGGACGGTCTGTGACGAGACCGGTGATCATCGTCTCGTACGAGACGCTAAGGCTCAATGTGGACGAGCTTAAGGGGACTCCCATTGGGTTGATGCTTTGCGACGAGGGTCATCGCCTGAAGAACGGAGACAGTCAGACGTTTAGCGCCTTGAACAGCCTGAATGTTTCGAGGAGGGTCATCTTGTCTGGTACACCCATTCAGAACGACTTGTCAGAGTACTTTGCTCTGATCAGCTTCGCCAACCCAGATCTCCTCGGTACTCGTCTCGAGTTCCGCAAACGTTTCGAAATTCCGATTCTACGCGGCCGCGATGCTGACGCCTCGGAAGCTGAGCGAAAGCGTGGTGACGAGTGCTTGGTTGAACTCCTTGCCATCGTCAACAAGTTCATCATTCGTCGTACCAACGATATTCTCTCCAAGTACCTCCCCGTGAAGTACGAGCACGTTGTCTTCTGCAACCTCGCTCCCTTCCAGCTCGACTTGTACAATTACTTTGTCGCCTCCCCCGACATCCAAGCTCTCCTGCGTGGCAAGGGCTCTCAACCTCTCAAGGCCATCAACATCCTCAAGAAGCTCTGCAACCACCCAGACCTGCTCGACCTATCGGCCGATCTGCCTGGCTGCGAGCAGTACTGGCCAGAAGACTACGTACCAAAGGAAGCGCGCGGCCGCGACCGCGACGTCAAGCCATGGTACTCTGGAAAGATGCAAGTGCTCGACCGCATGCTCGCCCGCATCCGCGCCGACACCAACGACAAGATTGTGCTCATCAGCAACTACACCCAAACGCTTGACCTCTTTGAGCGTCTCTGCCGCAACCGGCAATACGGCTGTCTGCGACTAGACGGCACCATGAACGTCAACAAACGCCAAAAACTTGTCGACAAATTCAACGACCCGGAAGGCGACGAGTTTGTCTTTTTGCTCTCTTCCAAAGCCGGTGGGTGCGGCCTCAACCTGATCGGTGCCAACCGACTCGTCCTCTTCGACCCGGACTGGAATCCAGCAGCCGATCAGCAGGCGCTGGCGCGCGTGTGGCGCGATGGCCAGAAGAAGGACTGCTTTGTCTACCGCTTCATCGCCACGGGTACCATTGAAGAGAAAATCTTCCAGCGACAGAGCCACAAGCAATCCCTTTCGTCGTGCGTCGTCGACAGCGCCGAAGATGTGGAGAGACACTTTTCTCTGGACTCGCTGCGCGAGCTGTTCACTTATAGACCCGGGACCAAGAGCGATACCCATGACACGTTCAAGTGTAAGCGGTGTAAACCGGATGGTAGGCAGTATATGAAGGCGCAGGCCATGTTGTATGGCGATACTAGCACTTGGAATCACTTTGTTAATCATTGGGAGGGCGAGGACGCGGCGGGTAAGAGTGGAAAGGGCGGCGACCCGAATGGTGGTAGTGGAGGAATGAAGAGCATTCATGATCATTTGTTGAGGCAGGAGGTTGGGGAAAGGGATGTTAGTGCTGTGTTTCAGTATATCTCTCATTGAGCGGCTCGTTTTTCTTTTCTTTTTCTTTTTTCTTTCTCTTTAATTGAGGAGGGTGGGGATGCTGGGTAAGAAGGTGCGTGCAATCAACGCAGCCTGATGGAGTTTCGGGTGTCGTCGGATGGTGAGATTTAGCTGAGAAACAAGTATCATGTAGCGTACGGTGTTTGGGTGTTTCGGGTGTGTTATGGGAGGATTTACAAATACACATATCGTTACACATCGTAACAATCATCACACTACGTAAACTATCAGTAGCATTCATCCTTCGATCAGCTGCTTGGGTTAGTAAAGACTCCAGCGGCGGGTTATTGTCTATATAGCGCAGTATCTGATGTTGATGCTCTTCAGCTGGTTGTAAGAAGGGTTTGAGAAGTGGTTTATATATCATCTATCAAATGTACTATAGGCGCACGCTACATTGAACAGGAATAACTAACACCCACCCATGCCATGACACCTCGCTTTGCAGATCTACAACTCATCAATGACATGCTCCTTCTCCTCCTCATGTTTCTCCTCCACAACCACCGGCTCCTCAACCTTCTTCCCCTCCAAAACTTCCCCAGCCTTCTTGTCTTCCTGCTCCTTGACCCTCTTAGCCAACGCCGCGACCTCCTCGTCATAAACCGTCCACTCAGGCACCTGCCTCCTCGCCCTCTCCAACTTGGGCTCCTTCGTCATGGGATTATTGCACAAATCAATCGTTCTCGCCTTCGTCAGCGTCTCATCTGAACACCACGTCTCGCACCACAACCACTCCTGCGGCAGGCTCTTGATCGGGATCTGGAACTGCATATGATTCGGCAGATCCTGGTCCAGATTCGACAGACTATTCGGATCCGCGCTCAGCGTATGATACTGCTGCCTCAATCGATCGCCAGCGGCCAGCTCCCTGAAGCGGCGCAGATCAACCACGTACAGCGCCGAGATGTGGTACGGCTGGCCCCGCAAGTAGTTGGCCCAGTACCCGGTCTTCCAGAAGCGGAAGCCTTCCATTTCGGTTCTTGAGTCGCACATGGGCGTGAACCCGTACGGGGCCCCCTCCAGGTCGAGGCTGACGAGGTCGTACATGTCCGTGCGAACGATCTGGTCTGCATCCACGAAAATGACCTTGTCCAAGCTCAAGGGGAAGAGGACGTCCAAAAACAGAATCTTGTAGCCCCAGATTTCGCGCTGTTTTTCCGATTGGTGCCGCAGCCAGTGCGGCCATTTGTAGGCGACCATTTCGTATTTGAACCCGTATTCGGCGGCCAGGTGGGGGAGGAAGGATTTGAACGAAGGAGAAAGGAATTGCTCGATGAACCAGAATTTGACCGAGTGGTCTGTGTGCTCCATGACGGAAAGGATCATGATGGAGAGCATGCGCTCGTACAGATGGCCGGAGGCGACGGAGAAAATGTTGATTTCTGCGTGTTCGGTCTCGGATATGGACTTTTCGGTGGGCTTCTTGGCTCCGAAGAGGCCCTCGGCGAATTTAAGACCCTTGGAGACGAGGGATTCGTCTTGGGATGTGGTCTCGTCCTGAAGAACGTCCTCGCGCTCCATGCCTGGCTTGCGAGTTAGGCGGGGGTAGAGCGTGGCGCCCTGGAAAGACAGCAAGGCGACCTCGGTGGTTTCGTCGCCGGGGACGGGGGACCAGCCTTGGGCGCCGACGCTGTCGAGCGTGAAGATGTCGGAGCTACGGCCCTCCATGAGGTGGATGTTGTACATGCCTGGGTTGGCCTTGAATTGGAAGTAGCCGAGATTGGCCATGATGATGGTGTCGGCGAAGTGGGGGTGTTTCTCGGTTGCTAGGACGAGCTGCACGCCGCGCGGAGGTGAGCCGGACGGGAATTCCCGGGAGTGACCCTCGATTAGAATGTTTTCCAGCTCGTAGATGGCTTCTACGTGCTCTGTGTTTCTCTTGGCTTTGATGTCCTTGAGAAGAAGGTTGTCGAGATCGTCGACGGATACTTTGGACGCGACGAGCCAAGCAGGCGGGACATCCATGCCGGCAACGAGGAGGGTCTCTGGTGGCACTCCGCTGAAGGTCGCCGACAAGGCTTTTACCTTGCCGCTTTCATCGAAGCTGGGAGCAGATTCCAGGACGTAACGGTAGAACCTCTTGACGGGGAGCTCCGATAGTTCAGTCTGTGGATTGACAAATACTTGCAGATGAACACCCTCAAGTTCGGAGAGGACCTTGAGTATGGGAGCCCACTTCTGACCCATCTCACTGGCAGGGTTGATGACCGCAACAAAGAAGATCGTGGCGGTTTCCGGGTTACCGACATGGAAGGAGGTGTACGTGGTGTTTAGTTTGTTATAAGCCGTTGTTCTGATGGGCGGGGCAGAGTCAAATATGCCCTGGGGAGTATCTGAGATGCCCGAGAGAGCAGTGACCGAGGTCAGCTTGGCAGCAGCCAAGGGTCCAGAGACCTTATCAGTCAGTCCAAGATCCTCGATTGCCTTGTAAACCGGAAGGATGCGGTTCATACGTTCCGTTCGGAGGAACTCAGCAAAATCCTCCTTTACGAAGTCATTTGCCGACGCGATAGGACCAACGATGCGGCCATTGAGGATGAGCATATTGTCTCCAGACTTCAAGTTCAAGCTAGAGAGGAAGCTAGCAAGGTCGGCATCAAAATCCGGATCCGCCTCAGGCTTGCCCTCCTCGAGGATAGTTTCAAGGTCAACAAGGCGGGTAACCTCCAGCAGACTGCTCTCCTTGGCCTTAACGCGCTGATTCATGATGGAAGGCGAGTTGGCCAGGTCAGCGGGGTTATGAACAATATCGAGTCGAACTCCTTGATGTTCCTGTCGGAAACGCAGCGCAAAGTAAAGGAGTTTCTGGCCCTCAACGCTATTAAGGTCCGTAACAACTGTAAGTACTGCCCAGTCTTCCTTGGGGGCAGTGTCATCCGCGTCAACCACAGGCACCTTGCTGAACAGACGTTGATGCTCGCTATACACCTTGTTGACATTCAGGACCTTGACGGCGTTGGCATCTTCGGGGTATATGAACGTATTGCGCCGGGCAATGGCGTTCTCTAGGAAGAAGCCCGGGACATTGGTGTGATCATTGACCTTGTTATAATAAACCGCCTGTTGCAACATCTGGAGGTCCACCATAAGCTTATGGTTCATGTTCCGTAGCCAGTCTTCTTCACGGGGGATGGCGAAGCCGTTTATGAAGGCAGGGGGAATGTCGGTATCAGCCCTGAGGCGTTCACACCAGCGCTTCGCGCGGTGGACCTGCTTTTCCAACTCCTCGGAGGCAAAAATGTCCTTGAAAGGTAGCGCTTCATGGTCTGGTCGAATCTCACGGTCCTTGATGGCCAGATTGAAGATATCCTCGTTGGGCTTATCGGTACTGGAGGCTTCAAGAGACTTTTCCAGATAGGTAGACATGGCAGCCAAACCATACGTGTTGAGAAGATGGTACAGGACCTTTGCCTGTTCTACGGCCTCGCCTGTGGGAGTTAGGGGGACAAGGCCAAACCGGACAGGAATGCCTCGCTTCATGAAAGCAAGGAGCTGTCTGGTGACTAGGGTGACATCCTCGGCCCTGGAGAAGTCTACAGGAACAACAAGGTTGAAAAGGTTCTTGCGAACTTGAGGCAATCCTTGTCCAAAGTGCTGAATCAAAGCCCAGACCGACGGCGAATACTCGGCGTAACGTTTGTCCTTTTCAATGTTGTTCAGCCAGATAATGACCTGACCACCCTCGGGCTCATCCCGCCAGTCGAACCTACGAGGCTCTTCCTCGGTGGCCTTTGCGGCGGCAACCTCGTCATGACCCAAAAGGGAAACGGCTTGCTGGCCAGTCAGGCCCAAGTCCAGGGCACCGTTGATGAGTTTGCGTTCCCGGCGAAGCATGTCTACAAGCCCAAAGGGCTGGACCTGTCTGTCTACCATCTGAACACCGTTCATCCACAGAACGTTGGCACCTGGTGGCACCAGCAGTTGCCTGTTGTACTCATGTTCGGCCAAAAACTCCTTGGACACGTTGTGCTTTCCAAGCTTGGTCGAGTACTTGGGGAAGTCCTGTGTAAGTTTAAGCAGGGTATCAAACGGCGCTTCGCTCTGCATAACGAAGGATGCCGCCTTGACAGCGAGGGGTGAAAGCTCGGACTTTTCAAGGGGCTTGATGTCTGCGACCTCTTCATCCTCGTCCAGGACAAGCTCGGAATCAGATCTAATGGTCTTTTGGGAGTCATCTCCGGTGGCCTTGTCACCACCAGTATCCCTGTCATCAATGACGATGTAGTCTGTCCTTTTCAGCGTAAGCTCAACGCCATAACCGTTGACCGCGAGCGCATCATCTGATTGTCCAAGGCTTCTCTTGTAACGCAGCCGATACGAAGCCTCTCCTTTCCGAGCAAGTTCCATGGCGGCCTCGTGATATTTCCCAAAGGCAGGGGAGGTGATGTCGGCATAGAGCACAATTTCCTGATGGCCACTACCGAATTGTCTGTCAAAAGGCAAGGTACGCTCTCGGGAGTTGCTGTTGACATGGCCCGATGAAGCTTCGAGGCTGGCTTTGCAGTATTGCTTCCCGTTGTATAGAAACCACAGATCACATCCGTCCTCGTCGGCCACTACATATGGCTCAACAGCGGTGGTATAGTACTGATAATGAGCCTCGACACGGGGCGCAGCGGACCGCAACGAAAGAGCCAGCTTGAAGGTCGCCAGCGCCTCAGGGTTCACATGCCCATCTTCTTGAAGAATCTGGAGGAACTTTTCATAGAGCTCTTTGTCGGACTTGGCCTGGGAAAAATCTCCCTTGGCAATGCAGTCCAGTAGTGGGAAGTAGGCAGTAGCATTCTCGGAAGCCGCGGTTTCGCTGGATTCGGATGTGAGAATGGTCCGGTGCGGGTGAAGTGGGATGGTCAGGGAACTTACAGGAGCTCTACCAGATACGGAGGTGAAGGAAACGCAGCCTTGAGTGCGACGTCTACAGAAGGAGAAGCTGCAACGTGGTGTGAGGGAAGCCATGTCGCCGTGACAAGGGCTGCCGCGAGACCCCACGGCAGCTGGGAGAGGCGGATCATGGTTGTCCGGACCAGGAAGCAGGTTTATTTATGGTGACGCAGGAAGGTAATGCGTAGGTAAAAGATTGCTCGATGAGATGGCTGCCTGTTTCAAAGCTCAATCATGAGTGGGATGAGAAAAGGTGCCACGTTGGATGTCACCAACGTCAAACGGCACAGCTCGAATGTGGTGGTGTTGGTGTTGTTGGTGTTTTGTAGAGAGAGAACGAAACAAAACGGGACAATGTAAGAGGTCACCGGTTTACTCAAAAGGGTTCAAACAAAATAACAACCTCAGTAATCTGGCAAAGTTACCAGATATACATGGAGTGGTGAAATTGGGGATAGCTTCACAAACAAGTTGGCGCTGAGGTTCCTGCCGTGTGAACACCTCGCCCCGGCTGTTCAGTTGTAGTGAAGCAACAGAGCTCGCCCAGTTCGGTCTAGCGTCTGACTGAGGGAAGCTGTGTACAGGTGGCCGCCAGGGTTCATCATGATCCGTCTCACATGGGAGGTTGTGGCTGGTGCGACCCTCGACTTGCGGCCCCTTAAATGAGGCTTACGCATGCCGTAGCCCCTGAATTGCGGATCCTCTGTGTGTTTATGGCGTGGCGGTGCACGAATCGATGAGGTGAGTGCCGCTGAGGCCACGCCAGTCGTGTCTGCAAGGCCCCAACTGCAGTGGACAGGTGCTGTGCGAGTGGCAGCTGCAGCGCCCGCCCGCACTGAATGGCCCGGGAGGTGAGGTGCGATGGAGATGCCACGCTTCCCTACCACACAGCCCGGTACGGTAGTATCCTAACAAGTGGAATTGAAGCCACCGCCCGAGACCGTCCACTCCAGCACCTCAGCTCCGTTCCTGATTGTGAGTGGCATCCATCGCGGACCTTTCGAACGACCTACGCTGAGCACTCACTTCGTTGTACCTCGACACTTTCCACTTGGCTCCGTTCATTCCCCAAACCACCACCACGCCGCCGCCGCCACCCCTCCTCCTCCTCCCACCCCCCGAACGGCATTTCCCATCTACCATAGTATTTTGCGACTCCACGGCGTCTCGGCTGATCGCGTCCTAATTCCCCCCGTCTCCCACTTAAATACTTAATCCACCTTTCCCACGTTGATGCCGGGAGCTTAGGCTGTGCTCCCCTTAAAGCCACTGGCAAGATGCAGGCCTCCTCGGGAATGCTCACCAAAGTACGTTGTTTGTCGTCCACTCTCCATGCGCCTTCTCCCCAGCTCGAGCGTGTCTAACATCTTACCTTACCCCTGTGCGCAGTTCGAGTCCAAGTCGTCGCGAGCAAAGGGCATTGCCTTCCACCCTAAACGGTCAGCCTCTCCGTCCCCCGAAAGAGCAGAAGCTCCCCCGTCACTTGACCCTTGGGTCTTGATGTCTACGCTTGTCAAGAAAACCAAACGCGAAACTAACATGGCCTTGCCTCCAGACCATGGATTCTCGTCTCCCTCCACTCCTCCACCATTCAGCTATGGGACTACCGCATGGGTACCCTGATTGACCGATTCGAAGAGCACGATGGCCCCGTCCGCGGCGTTGATTTCCACAAGACACAGGTGAGCTCCCTGTTCCCTCGATGCGCCGAACCCGGGATATCGACAACTAGCTTACACATCCGTTACAGCCCCTCTTCGTATCTGGCGGTGACGACTACAAAATCAAGGTCTGGTCTCTCCAGACTCGGCGCTGCCTCTTTACACTCAACGGCCACTTGGACTACATCCGCACCGTCTTCTTCCACCACGAGCTTCCTTGGATTGTCAGTGCTAGTGACGACCAGACGATTCGGATATGGAACTGGCAGAACCGCTCCCTGCTTTGCACCATGACGGGCCACAACCACTACGTCATGTGCGCCCAGTTCCATCCCAAGGAGGACCTCATCGTTTCCGCCTCCCTCGACCAGACTGTTCGCGTTTGGGATAGTACGTGGTGCCTTGGCCGGGAAAGATGGCATGGATATTTGCGGAATACATCGATGGCTGACCATTTTGTCTTGTCACAGTCTCGGGCCTCCGCAAGAAGCACTCCGCGCCCACGTCCATGTCCTTCGAGGACCAAGTTGCTCGCGCCAATGCCAACCAGACCGACATGTTCGGCAATACCGACGCCGTTGTCAAGTTCGTTCTCGAGGGCCACGACCGCGGTGTGAACTGGGTTGCCTTCCACCCCACTATGCCCTTGATCGTGTCCGCCGGTGACGACCGCCTTATCAAGCTGTGGCGCATGAGCGAGACCAAGGCTGTACGTGTTGTGAGGATTTGTGCATCTGATGACAACTTGCTGACTGAACCATATCCATAGTGGGAAGTCGATACCTGCCGCGGCCATTTCCAGAACGCCAGCGGCTGTCTTTTCCACCCCCACCAGGACCTCATCCTTTCGGCCGGCGAGGACAAGACGATTCGCGTATGGGATCTTAACAAGCGTACCGTAGTCAACACCTTTAAGCGGGAGAACGATAGGATCTGGGTCATCGCTGCTCATCCGGAAATCAACTTGTTCGCTGCTGGTCACGACAATGGTGTTATGGTGTTCAAGCTCGAGCGCGAGAGGCCCGCTTCTGCCGTTTATCAGAACAACATCTTTTACATTACCAAGGAGAAGCACGTCAAGATGTACGACTTCCAGAAGAATGTCGAATCGCCCACGCTTTTGTCGCTCAAGAAGCTCGGAAGCCCTTGGGTGCCCCCAAGAACGCTCTCCTACAACCCCGCGGAGAGGTCAATCTTGGTCACTTCCCCGGCGGATGGTGGGTCGTACGAGCTCATCACCCTTCCTCGCGATGGTTCTGGAGCTATCGAACCCACAGAATCCAAGCGGGGCCAGGGCAACTCCGCTGTGTTTGTGGCTCGCAACCGTTTCGCTGTTCTCAACACTGCCACCCAGACCGTCGATATCAAGGACTTGACCAACAACACCACGCGATCGTTCAAGCCCCCTGTTGGCACTACCGACATCTACTTTGGCGGCACCGGTAACCTCCTCATCATTACTCCGACCGCTGTTCACCTCTACGATATCCAGCAGAGAAAGAGCACTGCCGAGCTGGCTGTAACTGGCGTCAAATACGTTGTCTGGTCTAACGATGGTCTTTACGCCGCTCTGCTCAGCAAGCACAATGTGACAATTGTGACCAAGACCCTGGAGCAGGTTAGCACTTTGCATGAGACTATCCGTCTCAAGAGTGCTGCGTGGGATGACGCTGGTGTCCTGCTCTACTCGACTCTCAACCACGTCAAGTACACGCTTCTTAATGGGGATAACGGCATCGTTTGCACCCTCGACCAGACTGTTTACCTCACCCGTGTCAAGGGTAGAAACGTGTACTGCCTTGATCGTGCTGCGAAGCCCAAGATTTTGCAGATTGACCCCACCGAGTATCGCTTCAAGCTTGCGCTTGTCAAGCGTAACTACGAGGAAATGCTACACATTATCCAGAACTCGAGCTTGGTTGGCCAGTCAATCATTGCCTACCTTCAGAAGAAGGGCTATCCTGAGATTGCGCTCCAGTTCGTCCAGGATCCCACTACCAGGTTCGAGCTTGCCATTGAGTGCGGTAATCTCGAGGTCGCCGTTGAGATGGCCAAGCAACTGGACAAGCCCAAGCTCTGGACGAGACTTAGCCAGGAGGCCCTCGCCCATGGTAACCACCAGATCGTGGAGATGTGCTACCAGAAGCTCAAACACTTTGACAAGCTTTCGTTCCTCTACCTCACCACCGGCGATCATGACAAGCTCTCGAGGATGGCCAAGATTGCTGAGCACCGTGGTGACTTCACTTCGAGATTCCAGAACGCCCTTTATCTGGGAGAGGTCCAGGACCGAATCCAGATGTTCAAGGAAATCGATTTGTACCCCCTGGCCTACATGACTGCCAAGTCTCACGGGCTTGAAGACGAGTGCCAGGAAATCCTCGAGGCTACTGGTCTCACAGAAGACCAGCTCTCGATGCCCACCCTGGGTGAACCCCTTACACCGCCCAAGCCCGTGGTTCCCACATACAAGGCTAACTGGCCAACAAAGGCGGCCTCGCAGTCCTTCTTCGAAAAGGCCCTGCTTGGCGAGGTTGAGGGCTTGTCTCTGGAAGACCAGCCCTCTGCCGCTCCCAACGGTTTAGGTCTTGAAGAGGGTGGTGCTGATGAGCCTGCGACCAAGACGGCCGGTGCTCTTGCCGAAGGCGATGAGGACGAAGATGCTGCGGGCTGGGACATGGGCGATGACATTGTTCCAGAAGTCGAGGAGGGCTTCGTCAACGTGGAAAGCGCGGATGCCGGTGGTGCTACAAGCAGTGAAGCGGATCTGTGGTCCCGGAACTCACCGCTTGCAGTTGATCACGTCGCGGGTGGTTCTTTTGAGTCGGCAATGCAGCTGCTCAACCGCCAGGTTGGCGCTGTCAACTTCGCTCCGCTGAAGCCTCGCTTCTTGGAGGTTTACCAGGCATCCAAGACTTACCTCCCTGCCGCGGCTAGCCTGGACCCCCTCGTCAACTACGTCCGCAGGAATCCCGAGGAGACGGATCTCAGGAAGGTTCTCCCTATCATCCCCAGGGACCTCGAGTACCTTGCTTCTAATGACCTGCAGCGCGGTTATGACGCGATGAGGGCGAACAAGCTCGAGGATGGTGTCAAGATCTTCAAGGGCATTCTGCACTCCGTCCTTGTGAACGCTGTAGGCAGTGATGGGGAGGTGGCTGAGGCCAAGAAGCTCATCGCTTCTGCTTGCGAGTACTCGGTTGCCATGTCCATCGAGCTGGCTCGCAGGCAACTTGGTTCTCCGGACCAAGTCAACAGCGATCCCTCGCTCCAGAAGCGGAGCTTGGAACTGTCGGCCTACTTCACCATTCCCAAGATCGAGGTTCCCCATCGCCAGCTTGCCTTGCTTAACGCAATGAACCTGGCTGTGCGGAGCAAGAACTACAGCTCTGCCCTTAGCTTTGCCAACAGGATATTGGCCAATGGAGGAGCCACCAAGATCACTGAGAGCGTATGTGATCACCTATATA